AAGGTCTATCAGAATGCATAATTACTTTTGTGAGAAATGATTTTTTTTATATCTATAGTTTGAAAAAACATACAGCACATCGAATTTTTTTACTTGTCAATTGAGGTTGTCTTCAGTGTACTCAAATTATTATAGTAATGTATAAGTGCAAACTAAGACAAATATACAGGATGATAGAAAATTCTACGGGCTTTCAGAATATATCATTATTTTTTAAAAAATATCATATTATAGAAAAGATTTCGTTAAAATACTGAGTGCAGTTTCTTTTTTTCGGAGGTATATATTCAAACTGTAAAAGAAGCCATCCGAAATGTCAATGCAAAACTTCAAAAAATAAGGTTATGGACCATCAAAAAGTTCAGTGTGGCGTATAAAAAAATTATTAAAATTAAAACGATGGAAACGACAAACAGTTCAAAAATGAACTACCAATCAAAAAATTGAATGAGTTACTATTGTGAAACGGTTACGGAAGAAATATGGTATCAAAAAAGGAAATAAACTTTATCAATAGATTCATGTTCTCCATACTGATTTTACTGATTCATCCACATTAACTCCTCAATACAATCAACACAATGAAGATGTTTGTGCTGAAGCAATGTCTAATATTGCATATGAATTAAAATCAAAGTCAAAAGAAAAATTCCAGAAAAATGTTATGTTGTGGGATGGTATTTCTTACCAAGGATTATTTCCTAAGAAATCTCCAATTTTTATTGATGAATGGTTAGAGTTGACCAGATCAGTAGATGATGATCGTCGTAAGAATATCTATTCTACTCGTGACAGGTATGCAAAATTTATTGGAATTATTCTAGTAGAAAAAGCGACTAAAGAATTAGGTGATTTACAAAATGTAATTTTTCAAGACGATCAAGGTCATAAACAAAGGATGCAGGTGTCCTTGGATGCTATTAAACATATTTTTATCAATCAAATTGAACCAATAGATTGTGATACAAAACTGGCCATCATTTGGCCTATAGAAAATGTTTAGAGTGTATGAAAAAATAGAAGTGACGAGGATGAGAATACCGTTATATTGAACAATTAAAAAATGACGTTAAAAAGGAATGGCAAAAATTTAGTGTTTCTCTTTATGTCAATAAATTATGGATAAAATATCAGCGAGATTAAAATTAGTAATGGATCAAGGTGACAAACAAACATAGGAACACTGATAATTTGTTTTGTGGTTTTTTATTTTTTAAAGTTGTATTATTTTAAAAATCATAACCAAGATGACGAGGAAAATTGAAAATATAATACATGAAAATGTTGTTACTGGTTTTCATCTATAATAAAAGTTATACGCCTCAAACTTTATAGTTATGTAATACTTGACATGTACAATAATCTACCAAAGTTTTAGGAAGCTTGCTTTTGTTGAACACATGAACGATGAATTTCAAAATCATTACAGAACTTTTGAGACACTCTTTATATTACATAAATATAGGCATTGTTCTTGAACGACAAGATGAACGTTTTTTCAATTTAAATAAAAATCTTGCTATTAAAGCAATGAAAAACAAGTATAAACTTATTTAATTAATATAGTATTTAATTACTTTATATATAAATATATATGTTAAGACTTTATCAAATACAATATGATGAACAACAAGAACGATTGTTTCAAACACGTAAACAACAAACTGGTAGTGGAAATCGAAATGAAAA